TCCGAAGAAGTGGGCTGTAGTCCACGAAAGCTTATGCTCTAATAAATTTGTTAGTCTCTAAGGTGCCACAAGTACTCCTGTTCTTCTTTTTGCGGATACAGACTAACACGGCTGCTACTCTGAAACATGAACTTTAATGTATTTATCCTCCCAAACACCCTGTGTAGTAGGGAATTACTATTATCCCCATTTTACAGATGAGAAGCTGAGCCACAGAGCAGCTAAGTGACTTGCCCAGTCACACAGGAAATCTGGTAGAGCTGGGAACTGAACTCACTACTACAAGTCCCAGGCTAGCACCTTACCACTGGGCCACACATCCCCTTATAACACAAGCCACAACACAATTTCACTCTGCAATTTTTGAAATCCTAACTATGGGTATAAATAAGACTATAAAAGCAATACACCATTAAAAGTTTACAGCGAGATATTACAACGATTAAATGAGAACAGAGACCTAGAAAAAACTATAGTCTAAATCAGGGTGAATAAAAATCATTTTTAAAAAAAAATAAAATAAAAGTTTTTCTGAGTGTAGCCTTCATTGATTTGAGATCTACCATACCATTCTCTCACTAGAAGGGAAAACCTATAATGGCAGCAGGCCGTAAAAGAGACCCAGTTTGGGAATATTTTAATGAAGTTCCTCTACCTGTGGGCAAGACAGGCATGCGTCCAAAATGCAAACAGTGCAACAAAGAAGTGGCAAGGCCTGGTTGCCTGAATGAAACAACATCATGAGAAGTGTTCCTTCTCAGGAGAAAGCTGCGTTGACGATGATGAAAGGAAGATGTCTGAACATGCAGGATCTTCAGATTGGTAAACTTTTTTATTTCATACTTCTTTCTTAAGGACTGCCTGTCTTCTGGACTATTCCTGAATTCTCATGTTTGAGCAAAAACTATAGTTGTTACTCTATGGTACTATCATTTTAGATGCAGTTGTGATAAAAAATAGATAGCTGAAATAGGCAGATCTTCCTTTTACAACTTCACCTTTAAAGTATTACTGAGTGTCAGTGAATGCAATGAGTAATACTAAATGAGCAGTATGGTAATAATAATTAAATAACTGCATTGACTTATATTGTTTAGGGGAAACCATCCTCATCATATAGGATTCTGAAAACTATCCACCTTCAAGATCACCATCATTTTCTATAGTTTCAGAGTTATCTGCCAATGATAGTGTTTCAGTCA